GACACTCGCACTTTCAACGGAGCTCTCACTTTCACTTGACACATTTTGGGCAGCCCTGTGGCCCCCGTCACTGTCACTGTCACTGATAATGGCCTCGCTATCAGAAGACGAAGCAGTTGGCAAATCTGATAGCTCATCGGAGAACATATCTAATATTTCCTGTCCTCCGAGAGATCACAACTGCTTTCGTCTCTGAGCCATGTTGAACTGGTAGCTGCGTGGTTGATACGTGCAAGCTTGGATTAGAACAAAGCCAATTTTGTTTAGGTTGTGACAGGAAATGACTCTGGTCGAGTTACTAGATAAGGCAGCAATCATTCCCGAGGTCATCTACGCAGTAGTTACGATTCAACGAAGCCACACAGCGATATATAGCATTTTGCAACATAACGTGACCGTAGAGGGCCATATGGCCCGCCCAGTCCGCAACGCTTGGAAACGTAGAGGGCCATATGGCCCTTCCGGTCCACAATGTGTTAAGCTGTGTTAAAAATTGCTCATAATAGGTTAGGCTGTCAGCAGGAAATGCGGGTTTGAATTCCACTTACTTGGACGGTCACAACGTGTGATAAATGTCTAATATTAAGTTAAATTAGTCACTGTGTATACCATGGATCCCAGTTGTGAACAAAATCAAGCAAAAGAGAAGTATGTTTTTGAAGACACATCTGTACCTCTGTCAGTATTACTGCATATCCACTGGGCAAAAGGCAGTGCATGTTTCAGTTGTGCTTGAATGACAGTCTTTCACTCAAAAATGGAAACACGGTTGTGCTGCCTTTCTTTAATCAAAACATTAGTCTCTTAATGTACATCATAGGAGCAAGAGCATTTTTGCAGATTTGATGTTAGTACTTGGTCAGAAGAGAGGCCTGTACCCAGAGAAGAACTGGTGAAACAGGTGCAAGGGAAAGATGCCTTGTTCTGTATGTTGACTGATAAGATCGACAAGGAACTGCTTGATAATGCAGGTAATACGTAATTATTTTGCTGAAGAGTAACAGCTTTACAGTATAGTGACCGTGTACTTGAGCCTGTTTATCATTCAATCACATGATACCATTAAACGTGAAACCTCTCAGAAAATGTATATTTTGTTTACTATTACCGGACCCCACTCTAACATAATATAGAGTGAATTAAATTAGAGTACACTAACATAAGTTAACCTGACACCAAAATCTTATCTGTTGGAAAAGTATATAAACATGTCCAAATATAATAAAATGGCTGAAATTCAATTCCCAGCAGGGACAAGAGATTTTCTCTACTTCACAGAGTTTAGACCAGCTCTGAGGCCCATCCAGTCTTCCGTGTGATGGGTACTAGGGCTTTATACCTAGTGGTAAAGTGACTGGGGCGTGAACTGACCACTCACCTCCATCTAGTGCTGAAGTCAAAAGTGGTGCACCTCTACCTCTTTTCTCCTCATGTATCATGGCATGGTGCTTAATTAATTAAGCACAAGAAGACTTTCCCATTTATGCATGCTTTGAACAAACTTAACAGTAAGGTTTCAGGGAATAAAGTTTTTAAAACGTTATACATCTTTGAATGTTAATGATGCTGTACTCAAAAGACTCTTCAAATCGTGTGTCCTTTCTTGACCTTTTTATGCAACGGACTTACATCAGAAAAAATTATGTATAAATTTATTGTTCCCTCATCCCAGATGACCCAAAAAGAGGTGCCATACCCATGTCATTTTTTCTGTCTCAAGCCAACATATCAAAGACTCAAATATTGGAAAGTGATACATCCTGATGAATTTTCTTAGGAGAAAATAAAGAATATGCAACCACAAGTAGCAGTCCCTCACAGTTGCATACAAAACAGTGCCCTTGTTTGCAGTTCAATGTTGTGAGACTCATATGTATTAGTACATTAATATCCCTAGATATAAAATGTAATAAAAATGTTTAAAATGTCAGCTAAAGTTTATTCTGACATACAACAGTACTAGACCCCATACTTTCCACGAGCACTGTCTGTGATCTAACATTCTTCATATCAGATTGGCACTTCTGAAAATTCTCAGGAGGATATTTGACATGCACAGAAACTGGAATACTTTCGGCAGAGTACTGACTCGCTGACTGTATGGTATGCAAATTAAAAGATTAGGATGCCAGTTGAATCTGAGGCAAAACTAGTAAACAGGGAAGGTGAATGCTTTTCTGTTCTGTAAGTTTAATCCTAGTATAATGCACTGAAATAAGGGATAGTCCCATATTTGAAGGCCACGTGACAACCCCTATATAAGAAATTATAAGAAAATGTACAAGTTGACATGGAATTTATAGTTAATTGTGATATTTTTAAGAGTACTGATGTAGTTTAATTGTGCTCTGTTCAGGGAAACATTTAAAGGTCATAGGGACAATGTCAGTTGGCTATGATCATATTGATGTGGCTGAGGTTCGGTCTCGAGGCATAAGGATTGGTTACACTCCAGATGTCCTGACAGATGCAGTTGCAGAACTTACTATTGCACTTCTTCTGGCCACATCACGGAGACTTTTCGAGGGACATCAACAGATTCTTGAGTGAGTTACACAAAAAAGTCCCACCTCACCCCAGTTACACGTTTGCATCTCACTTCTGATATTTTTATATTTTCTCTTGTCTCTGGGGCCATGCAGTAGCGTAGTTGGTTGAGACGCTATACTACAAGGCAGAAGGTCAT